AGACAAAAAAAAAAATGAAAAGCTTGAACGATTCTTAAAGTGACGAATGCTAGAGTAATTCTCAAATTAGAGAGTGGTTTAGAGGCAAATCAATGAAGTGGTAAGTTGAAAAAAGGAACAAATGAGTGCTTCTCATGTAATAACCAAAATTCGTTGAAGAAGTTAAAATCAAAACGAGAAGTCTCGTACCAAACGGCTTTCAAATGAGTTGCAGTTGCGCCAATATGACTGGAACTCATTGATAGACATTTGATGTTCAAAGTTCTATCAAGAAAAGAGAAACGCAATCTTTCCCAAAAAAAACTAAGTTTATTCATGAGACGCATAAACATAAATTCTACGCTGTGCAATAGCCAATTTCCTTATTTCAAACATCATTTTGTTAAGAATTGCGCATAAATAATAACAGTAAGAATATTGCATATATTTTCAATGTTACTCGACGTTACGCATACTTCAGTTTTTAACATGATGTAGTACAGTTCCACTGGCAATTCAATCCCCCCCTCCGATGTTTGAACAAGAAATTGGCTCTAAATAATATATTATTCTATGGTGGCTAATCGTCAGCCAGCTCGGCGATACTAGAAAAAAGTTTTCTCACTCTATCTCCCTTAATCCGAGAGCATACACTCTCCTTCTCTTCTTCCTCTCTCGTTGAGACTGTTTTTTCATCTCAATCTTTGCCGTATTCAACACAAGATAAGTAAAAAATTGTGCTAAAAAAAATTAAATTAAAAGAAAATTTGTTTACTTACTTTGAGTTGGTTGCTGGATGTCTCTCTGTTGATTCGAATGATAAACATTAGCCGGGGCTGTTGTCTGCCACCATGTGGGTGCCGTCGTTGCTCGAGCGTCTCCTTGATGTTGATGTCGATTCCACGATTGTATTGCTGGTGACGGTGTGGTTATATGAATCCTACGGACATCCATGGCTTTATGACTAAACATTCAACAGATAAAACAATTTTGGGGGGATCAATAAAATAAAATTCCAATACCCGTTGGCTCTCGTTCTCGGC